GACAAACCTCACTAAGACAGGTAAGTGCTCTTCCCCTGCTATGTCCACCACATCGTCAGTGATGATGGAAAAGAAGTGTGAGTCTCTCACTTCCCTGAGGGTTTCTTCACGAATACAGCTCTCACAGATCTCTAGCATCTGTTTTTGCTGTGTTTTTGAACAGAACAATGTGTTAACAGCTGTGGCCTCAAAACGCTTTCTCAGGACCTCTTCACCAGAATTTATCCGGCACTCTAGCAATGCTTGAAAGTTATCAGGTGTAAAAAGACCTTCTGGAATTTCATCAGTCTCATGCCCATCCAAAGGTATGTTTTGTTTTCCCATAAGAATCAAAATTTCAAATAGAGACTTTAAGTATTCTTTGTTTTCCTTCTCTTCAAGGGTTAAGGGTAAAATGTCTTCATCCGGCTCATCACCTACCACTTCTGCACTGGGATTCTGAGTATTGCTGTGGTTTGTTTCCTTATGTTTCTGTTCCTGTTCAGAAGTTTCATCAACAATTCTTTTATTCGTTTTCTGTGTCTACTATGCGGATTGTTCAAGTGACTGGTAAGATCAAATATTGTTGGTATTGCATTATCTCGAAGAACAGTCCTATAAGGACTAGTTCTACAGATCATAGAGGTCTCAAAGTGTTTGGTAACACAGTCGATAATGTTTATTCAGCTGATCAGGTGTTTTATCTTCTAAGTCTGCTCTCCTACAATTCTCCACCCACTTCTGGCATGTGGCCGGATCCCGCGGAAACCTGAAGAAGGCCAGGTCCGACTGCGTGCTCTTCCGCGTGCAGTTGGGGGCCGTGCAGAAGTTCGGCAACGTCGCCCGCCCGCCGGCCGGCCCAGCCCTCCCTTCCCCGCCCCCTCAGGGCAGCACGCCCGCCCGTCGGGGCCGGGGAGGGGAGCCAGGCCGGCTCGCGGGGGAGGGGCGGGCGCGCAGGAGCCGCGAGGGACAGGAGGGGCGCGCGGTCCGAGGCCGGCGTGGGGACGCGGCTCCACAGTGCTGTGAGCGGCCCGCAGGATTTACCGCCGCCGCCGCCGCTGGTGCACCTCCCGCCCGCCCCGGACGCTGCCGCCTCCTTCCCACCTCTTTTTTGTTTTTTAACTAAAACATTTCAAACATTGCAGGACAGTGAAAAGGTTTTTCTTGTTGTTGTTCTTGTTTCATTTTGCTTTGTTTTTGTTTTTTCCAGGAATGGAACTCAGAACATTACACTTACCAAGTAGGCACTTAAGTCACTGAGCTATCTCCCCAGTCCAAGACTGTTAAATGTTATGCTCAGGCTCTCTGCTTAGACTTCCAGCCTTTTGCAGATTAAGGGAAAGAGTATAATATTAAGGTGAGAAAGGAATCCATTTTTGCCAAGCATACAACAGACAGGAGTGCATCATGTTGAGGAGAAAGAAAAAATGATCCCAGCCCCTCAATGTAGAATAAAATGGACATATTTGCTAGGCTAGATAGAGTTGAGTCTTAGCCAATAGGAAGTTACCTGGGTCTTCTCAAAAAACATTAACATGTCAATCAGCAATTATAAAATACTCTGTATCACAGTAGCCTTCTGAATAACTTTGCTTGTTGCATAGGTTTTGGAATGCCTTCCAGTAGTATAGATAATTCAACTGGAGTTATGGGGCCATTCCTCTCCACTCACCGGAAGCTGAGTAAAGCCTAGAATCAAGCAACCCACACCTTGTTCTAAAGCTTACTACTTTGATCTCCCGGGCCTGCCGTGCTGGCCCTGCCCCTGGGGCACACTGAGACAGTGATTGAGACTGGGCATGGTGGCATGCACCTATAATCCCAGCTCTTGGGAGGCTATAAACAGGAGAATCACTACAAGTCTGATCCAGTAGTGAGACCTCAAGTCTGATTAGTAGTGAGACCCTGAATAACCTGCAGACTCTTCCCTAAAATACAACAGCAACAACAAAATAAAACTTACTACTGGAAGGCATATATAAGAAAATCCAATACCTCTAAGTTTCCCATTTTGGAAAAGTCCAAAATTCCAAACCAGGATGCACAAGCACCAGACCTGCCAGTATGACCCACAGTAACCATGAAGGCTCACGTACAAGGACTGCATCTCCTACATCCAATTATAATTGAGTGAATAATGGGATAGAATATGCACAACGGATGCAGTTGATAGGATTCCACACAGTACCCATTACTTTGTAACTCATATTCTGGAATACCCCAATAGGAAGCACCCTATTTCAAACCCCTACATCTTATGGCCACAATGGCTATACCTACTCACCTGAACATACTACCACCTTAATATACTTTCCTGATTTTTACCTTTGTGTGCCATATCCAATTCTTTGTTCACCATGCACAAGAACCTAGGAACCTGTCCCAGACCCCATCATCCACAGTAACACCAGAGTCACCCAGCAAGCAAGATGGGAGTTACATCCAACATGGTTGTAGTCATGTCAGATTGGATCCCTACAACAGCCAAAACTTTTTCCTTTCTTGATTTTATACAGAAATCCATCCAACTGGGGGCTGGTTTCTGAGCATTTACCTCTGGGCTTTGTTCAGAAAGCTGATAATGAGGTCATTTCTACAAACACTGTCAGATATACAGGCTGGGTTATCAAGGATCATTGCAGATTTTATAAAACTTAAATTGTACCAGTCCTGCCCTCAGTTACTCTAACTATATAGGTTTAAGACAATGGCCTAGAAATTTGTCCTATTGGTAGATTATCTATGTAAATTTGAAATAAAGTCAGATTTGAAAACCACACGGCTGCTACTGAGTGAAGAAATAACATAAATAAATACAAAATATGTCTTTTCTCTAGGAATTTTGACAAGGTGTATAATGTATAATATTTATATTAATTTCAACAATGAAATTCACTAGGAAAAACTTTAAGAGGTTTGATTTACTCAAAAACAAAAAACAAACAAATTTATTTGCAAACTGGGAAGATGCAGCCTTCATTACCAAAAGAAAGTACACTCAGAAAGTGCAAAGAGATGGGCTGGCTTATATAGAAAGTCCTGGCCCACATTTACAGTGGGATCCACTATGCAAATGAGGGATGCAAGCCTATGGGAAATGCCAGTCTTGATTGGAAGATTGGGAGTCACGGCTTAATGGTCTTGTGGTAAGTGGGACTTTGGGGAGGCTGTTCATCTTTGCAGTTGAAACAAGAACATGTCTAGGTAAAGGGTACAAAACTTTAGTTTGTGATTCTTTCAGGAAAATTAAATACATGTGTCACTCCATATTTGCCAGTCAGCAAATGGCTACCAGATTCCATTTTAAATTTAGACCCAGTTAGCCACTTGAGTTCTTTCTTGGGAATGCAGTTTTTCCCAATCTCTCTGTCTGTCTCTCAGTATGTCTCTCTCTGTTTCTGTCTCTGTCTCTCTCGCTCGGTCTTGCTCTCACTTTCTCTCTCTCTCTCTTTCTGTCTCTCTCTCTCTCTCTCTCTCTCTCTCTCTTTGTGTCTCTCTCATCATAATATGAAATATCTCAATCTCCCAGAAATTTTGAATTTTGTCTGGATGGGAGAAGAGAGAAAAAGGAGGAAATTAAAATTCCTGGGAACAAGCCATGTTTTATAAGCCATGAGACTGGAAAGCAACAAAGGAGGAAGTATTCTGACAGACAAAAGGTAACTGCACTCCAGAAATTTTGGATTTCTTCACCTAAGCCAGGTCCTTTTGGGGAGGGCACTGTGACTGCAAGGCAACAGGAAGCAGGCTGATAACAATGATTCCTGATTGAAATCCAGAATCACGTGGGATCAAGACAGAAATTGTCTCTTCTAATGAGTATAAAAATCGGAGTATATGTGAGGAAAAAATAAAAAGATACAAGAAGCCAAATAAAAAGATACAAAAGGCCAAGTAAAGAGAAACAATAACCTCTTAATAGCCGCAAACAAAAAAGAACAACAAAAAAAAAAAAGAAACCCAAAACAGAAAGACATTTATGTTACTAACAGATCATCCTTCAAGTAGAAATAGAAGAATACCATATTAAATTATCTTTCCCAAGCAAATAAAGAAAAACTCAAATGTGTGAGAGTCAGGTGCAGTTTTTGACCTTTAATGAATAAGTTTATTTTTGAGATAGTGTCATTGACAATAAAGTACTAAAGGGAAACAAAATAATGAAGTTGCCTTTGAAATCCATGTGCAATTTGTGTTTTAGTCTTATATGTAATCCTGTAAACCCATTAACTTAAACTACAGCAAAAGTGCTGATCTACATTTAAATATCTGTTCTTATATGCTATTCTTTTTTTTTTTAAACATTAGTGAATGTTCACACTGAATTTCATTGCATTGTGCTAGAGTTTCTCTTGGTACATATATACCACACTGATTGCAGCATAGTTTAAATCTTCAGAGCCACTAGGTGGTCTTGATGAAGTAGTTGTAGAGTATTTTGAAATGCAACTGGCTTGGCATGTGAATCACATCCACGATTTATACATATTTTCAAATTTGCAGTAAATTCTAGATCATTTTTCCATTAAAGTCAATCTCATAGGCTAATTTGCACTTCTTTTTACACTATAAGTAGTTATAAAATTCATATGAGAAAATCAAAACTAAGTCTTTAGCAGTATTGTAAAATAAATGATACTATTCCAAAACATTCTTGAAGTCTAGATTTACAACGATTAGTTCCTAGTGTGCAAAGTCACTGACTCTTCTAGCAAAATTTTCAACAAAATTATTTTTATTTTAGTGTGTTTACTGCTGAAGCAAGCACAACAAAACAGTTCTTATAACTGCATGTCTTTAAACAAATTTATTACTACTTCCCTAAAAACAACAAAATATAAATATTAAGAAAATAAGCTTTTAAATAATAGTACTCATATTGCTAGGTCAATAACCTCACTGTTACTGACTTAAATGATAAAATATAAATACAAAATATTATTTCTACTTCATCTAGATCACAAGTTATTTAAATTTTAAGTATCAATAAAAATGTATTTTTACAGTGATGTGGGAGACGAAGAGTTTATTTTGCACATGAAGGTCAATACTTGGTTGGCACATGGTGGATCAGGCAAACATTTCAAAATACATTTTCAAACCAGCTTGTACAGAGCTATTGCCCCAGAACTCTTGCCTTGGGAGCCTCCAAAATTTTACATGGTCCGGCAATCTTTATAACAGAGGTTTCCTAGACGTTGTTCCATGCTGTGGCCTCTGTCAGTTCTAGTTATTAATACTTAAATTTCATCCTAATGCATGTGGGAATATGTAATAATAAAGCAAGAAAAGTGTTTTTCTTTTTGTTTGTTTGAGAGAGTATACTCAATGAGATCATTCGGAGATAGACTAACAGAGCCACAGATTTAGCACTGCTCTAAGTCCTCAGGGATGAATTTAAGCCTGAATAATAAGTATCACTGGATCAGCAGGCATCAGACATTGAAGCAGAGAATGCTTTGTAAAATAGGTTCCTTTCCCTAATAATTGAATACAGTCACTTTTTAATCTGCTTTAGAGTCTAGTATACAGCCCCTTCTTTCTACACATAGACTTAAAATCAGGAGTTTCTTAGTGTTCAATAAATATTAATCCAAATCTTCAATTTTCACGAGTGCAGCTGTCTTCTCACAAATCCAAGAAATTTCAGCACTGCAGCGTGAAACATAAATATTTCCTCTTTGAAAATAAGCACATCCTTTGGATCCATTGAGATGGGCAAGTTCTGTACTGCTAAACCTGAAAATTAATTTATTTGAAATTAATTAGAACTATTGTATTTGAAGTTTGATCACCATGCCGCATTCTCAGCTGTTCTTTCTTCCAATATTATGAAAATTGAGAGACGTCTTTCACCACAAAGCATCAAAATCCCTTACACTAGCACAGCAGAGATCTCTGTTTCAAGTTAATTGGGATCACAAGTAGAATTCTTTAAGAATATTTAAGTCCTAAACTGACAATTTCCACCAGTATATAGTTTCATTCCTGGAATTTGCCCACTCCAGATTAAATCAGAATGTTAAAATATGTTTACTTTAAAACTTTAAGTAGTAAAGAAAAAATGAGATCATATTCTATATAAAAATGTTATTATAAAAAATATAAATAAATAAAAATGCTATTGTGAACACATAATCTCACACGTATTTGTAGATTCTGGAGGTGGGTAATAGAACAGAAGAGAGATTGAGCCGAAAAAAGGATGACCATATAGCTGTGGTTCTAATAATATTCCCCAATTCTCCTGGTAAGAACTTGATCCTAAATCCTAAAAAAATGTAATTTAAAAATTATTCTTGTCCAGTTTAAATCTTCTACGTGATCAGTAATGTTTTCCCCATGCATCCCCAGGTGATCTGCAATATGCCCCCATGGTACCATGTTGGTTTGGTTTAGGCTAAATCTTAGTGTACACACATGGTCAAAGTGGCTGTACCCAAGAACTAAGGAAATGAATGGGTAAGCTTGAAGCGCGGTCTCACCCGAGGCACAGTCTACCTGACAACTATAGGACACAAAGTGTCACTGTGTGCAGGCTCTGAGCTCCCTGAGGCATTCACTTCCTCTATATTTTGAGCAGAACTTGGAGGGAGGCTCAAGCATAATCAAAATCCCTTATAGGAAGAAAAACTCCATAGATTAAAAATGAAATCTAAATGCAGTTATATTGCATCATGGTACCATTTCTGTAAGCTTTCTTTTTAGCAACATTAAGTGGCTGGCATTAATTTTAATGACCACATGTCCAATGTTACTCATTACAAAAAGTAACTGCCATTTTTGTCTGCTGTGTATCACTCCATGTATAGTTTTTTAATCTATTTTATTTGTATGAAACTAGAGTGACCAACTTACTATGACCACTAATAGTGATTAGATACTTGTAGATTAGTATTTGAGTAGGAATAGTCTTGATAAAGCTTTGAGAAATGGAAGAAATAAAATAAAATGTATCTAAGAAGAAGAGCACAGACATATCAATATAATTCAAGGGATCTGGTGGTTGATAGCCAAATGATAGCATGTAAACCAAATAATATTAATTTTTTAAATTAAAATTTTAAATTTAATAATTTTAATTCCACACAATAAAATTTGGAAAAGAAAGGAGAAGTAAATGGAGAAAGATTTGATGTCTGTATCTACCGATTTCCATGATCAATGTACCTGTAATACTATATTTATTATGCTTTTGGTGCTAGATATCAAGCTCAAGACCTTGCATTTACAGGCAAGTACCTATGCCGCTGAGCTATCTCCATGGGAATCAATGTATTTAAAATATATTACAAACTTATGCTAATAAAACATTCTCCAATAAAATAAAATTTCCTTGCACTCTAAAATAAAAAGACAAGAAAATATTGTTGACAAAAGTTAATAAAAAAAAGACAAATAACTACTTGTTGTTGAAGAGAAGGAAGTAATTCCATACCTAGAATGATCTCAATAATTTTAAATTTCATCCAATACAAAAATGTGCATTCCCAGTCCTAGCCCAGGCCCGGTGAGTGAGTGGGAGAGCTTCTGGCTACCCTGCGCTGGCAGGACCTACTACTGGTCCCAGCCCAGGCACAGCGTGGGTGAAACCCTCTTCCACCCCCTTGGGATGCCCCCGACCATTCCGCAGCACCTCCCCCTCCCCACCCGCCCAGTAGGAATTTCTGCCGCATTCTGGGAACCCCCAGACCCAGTCCTAGCTCAGGTCCGGTGAGTGTGTAGAAGAGCTGCCTCTCACCCCTACTCCACCTTCTCATCCAGGCTCAGCTCAGGCCTGGCATACAGGCCTGGGGTGAAACCCTGCTGCTGTAATCCCGGCAGAAAGTGCAGAGGATAGAACCACCCAGCTAGTCCAGGAGAAGAAAATCTTAACAGAGGAGCACAACAGGTTCACCCCCAAGGGCAGCAGCAGGAAGGAGCTGAGCACAGAAGCCAGACCCAAGCCAGGCACAACTGGATAAATCCAAACTTTGTAGATCTGCACCTGAACTATAGTACATGCTAAGGTTATAACTACAACGAAGATCTACAACAAAGGTCAGAAGACAGTGCTACACAAAATAACGAGAAGGAACAAAATGCAATCTCAGAACACAAGCCCACCCATAACAAGTGCAGAGAACACTGACAAAGAACAAATTGAGAATCACACAGCTGAAAGCAATGAACCAACAGCTTCTGAAATAAAGAAACAGCTGCAGAAAAGTATAGCGGAACTCAAATTGGAAATAAAAAAAGAAATCCATCAATTAATAACATCTGCAGTAAAGAATCAAATGCAGAAGCATATGGAGGAAACGCAATGCCCACCCAGAACAAGTGCAGAGGAAACTAGCTCGGCTCAAATGCATGAATTAGTAGCTTCGATAGTAAATAAGCAACAGCAGAAAGTTATAGAGGAACTCAGAGCGCAATTCTTTTCTGAAATAAAAAAAGAATTCTCAGAACTCATAGCATCTGAAGTAAAGAAGCAACTGCAGAAACATATGGAGGAAAACCAATCTGAAAAAAAAATGCAGTAAAAGAATTCATAACTGCTTCTAAAGAAGACATTGATAAAAAAAAAAG